CACACACATATATATATATGTGTGTGTGTGTGTATATGTATATACGCGAGCTCCCCAATTATAAGTAAGTATTTGAGATTATTGGAAATATCTCAGAAATGATTGGGCCGATCAAATTCTTAATAATCTTAATCACTGGCTCGGTTACCATATATCGTGATTTGCTAAGAAATATTCATACTATATTAATTATAATTATTGGCAGCACCTGATATGCGAAGTTTATTAATTTTGAAACAGACCTATCACGTCCGATTCGACATTCAGGGGTCTTTTTCTATTATTTACAAATATATGCAAGATAATTTTCACTTATCATATTTTAATATGTTAACATACTATTTAAGAATATTATTTAAGTGGGAATTATTTTAAGATTTTTTTAAATCAATTATATTTATATATTTAAATAATATTAATTCTAATTTAAATAATATAATTAAATTTAGATTAATTTGTCTTTCTAAAGAATAATTTATAAAATTCTTTCAGTATTAAAAAGAATTCTTAAATATACAATTTATATATAAATATAATATATAATTTTTATATAACATGATATAAATTATTATATATTTAAATTTATTATATAAATTAAATTATATATCCATTAAATTAAATTTAAATGTAATTTATATTGAATTAAAAATCGTATCCTATACGTTGAAAACAGATCTCCAATTTTTTTATAAAATTAACAGATATTGACAGATTTTAAATTGTTTTAGATCTTACTTATGTTTCCATTTTTTCGTTTCATCTAATCATGCAATTACGATTTTCGTATACAAAATAAAAAAGCTATATTACACGAAAGAATATTTCTCTCAGTCTGTTAAAAGGAAAAATTAAATATATTACATTTTTATGAAGTTAATCTATAAGTATAAAAAATAAAAGAGTGAAAATGATTTAAATAAATAGAGAATGTAATAAAGAAACAAAAGGAATGGAATACTATCTAAATAAGCGTTTAATTGTGCGCCGCTCTTTTACCATTCATATAACCGATCCATCTTTCTGCAGTTGTAATAAAAATAGGATCGTTATCGATAGAATTGAGAAGAAGAAGTTGATTAATATGAGTAGAATGGTAATCCCATCTAGCTAAATTTGGTGCTGTTTTTAATGTAAAATGACGAAGATCGTATGTCGTACCTGAACCGGTATCGTATAATGTTAACATGTTTTTTAACGATATCATACCCTGATTAAAGAGTCTAGTTGCTTCTTCCGCGTCCTTACCCATTGCAATGCTCTTCAAGTCGTAGAGACCGATGAGCGAATAAATAAAACCATTAAGAATGAAGGAAGAAGGGATGGTAGGATATTCCTCGTACCAGACATATTTGCCTAGAAAGAGCGCAGCCACTCCTCCTTTAGCGGATGTCAGTCTGAAAGGCCGCAAGCCTCTGATAGCGGCCTGTAAGTATTTCACTTCTCCAGAATGATAATAGGCCCGTGCTAATACTGATATCGCATGACCCTGGCCCATGCTGGAATACCTGTAACCACATATTTTTTCTGTAAAATCAGTTTCACTATTTTATTTACACACACATACACACACACACACACGCGCGCGCGCATTTTTATTTATATATATATATAAATTATTATATATATATATATATATATATATATATATATATATATAATAATAAGTAGTA